ATTACTAATTATATTATTAATAAAAGTTTTATCTGTTTTGTCTTAAAATATTAATTATTGAATAATTGCACTATTGCTATTCGTCAGAATTTCAAGAATACTACAAATGGCGCAGTAAACGCCATCTGTAGCACGATGCTACATTTTAGGATTACGTATGCTCCAACTAGGTCCACTTGTGTGGATATCTACTTGCTAAAAACGAATCCCCGAGCAGGTAAAAGTTGGTCTGTGTTCTGTCGGAGCTGCCTGCGATGCGCTGATGAGATCCAAAAAGATCGAACAGAATACAGACCACTTCGAATTATTTTATTCGATTAAGCTAACGTGCATTTAGATCTTTTCAATTTATCGCTTACCTTTTCGTAATCTTTCTGGACTTGATTAATTCGTCGAAGAAGAAGTTGCTTAAAATCGGATAAGCATTGATTTCTAACTTTTTCGGCCAAAATTTTAGACAGCTTGCTAGGAAATCCTATTCTAGCGAGATAGGGATACAGATAATCAACCTCTTCAGACAGTTGCTTAACTTTAATTTCTTGCTGTTTCTTTTCCTGTATTTTAAATGATAGTGATAAGATAGTGATAACGTATAAATAAGATTGTTCTGATCTCTTACCTGTTCGCGCATTCCCATCATCAGTTCATCATTGAAATCCCGATCAAAAAGTGATACTATTAATTTTGGCCGTGCTATTTCCTTGAATCTTAATTTAATAAAGTCTGTGATCTAGAAACGAAGGATTTCAGGTGTTTCAATGAAAATATGGGGTGATTCATCGTTTATTAAAAGTTTACGAGGCACATAAAGAGATATCGATTTAAAACTTGATATTTTTATACAAAGGACCCAGTCTAATATATTGCTTATACATATAACATATAAATCTTCCAAACCAGAGCCGGTCAAACTCCGCTCCTGCCGTCCCTTTTCCTCGTGGCCCAAAAATGACAGGTATAGTATCACAGGTATAGTGTCGAACGATACCTGTCTCTCTTTCTCCATAACCATAACTAGAAGGCTTGGTTACAAAGGGGATTTGGTGATGGAGAAAGAGAGACAGATATCGGTCGTTTCTATATGCATACAACGTTGTCGCTCGCTCCTAAGAAGACAAAGTTTGGCCGGCTTTGTTCTAAACTGAGGTCTGTGGTAAAAAAGCTCCATTGTTCTGCGATTCTAAATTTTAAATAAAATGGCCGAATTATCTTTATTTATCTCAATTCCTTATTTTTAACTCAATAAAGGCAATATGTTAGTAAATCTAATATTTTAATTTTTTTAAGTTATAATTAATTCCAGGTAAAAATTTTAGTAAAAATTTATGTTACAGGAACCAAAAACCTTAAAACTTCATTCTAATTAAAAGTTAGAGATCCCGGGACTCCTTCTGTAAAAATTTAAAACTTTGTATGCGGATGACACTACAACCACATCATACTAATCCACATATGAAGACAAGGATGAAGAACGCATACACATCAAAAACAAACGATAATTAAAAATGTTCTTTTCAACGATTCTCACTTTTTCACGGTCTACTAGACTATTATTCGTAGTGATTCACATAAATAAAAATTTAAATTTCTCAAAAATCCTCAATCAATTAGTATAAAACAACATTTCTTTATCGGGTATGGTGCAACTTTTTTTTATAAAGTTTTATTATTCATCATCATAATAAGGTCGTCAGTCCTAAGGCTGGTTGGACACGCATCTCCACTTTTTCCTATCCTGAGCTAATCTTCGCATTACCCTAAAACTAGAACAGCGCATATCCTTAACAATTTGTAAATAATAACCAAATCTAGATCTGATTGACGAAGAGCTTTTGGGCTGCCGTGGTCGAATTCTGATTGCAGATGTTTCGCCCTGCTTAATAGATGGCATCTTCACGATGTATGATCGGGGGCTGAATGGTTAATGTGGGATCTTAGGCGTGCTTTTATATTAGTCCGGCTAGCTGACATGTTTCGTTCCGGTACTTTAGAAGCACCCCTTAGATCCCACATTAACAATTTAGCCGTCAACCATACATCGGAAAGCACTGAAGATGCCATGATGGCGAAACGTCTGCAATCAGAATTCGACCACGGTAGAAAAGCCCCGAATCTCATCATCATCAATTAAACACCAGCGGTGAAAGCTTATGAACTACTGTAATCTATATTAACCTAACCTAACTCGCGTTTCTGCTTCTAATATGCCTCTAACTAGCCCTTTTTACGTGAGAAGGTGTCCTGCTAACCTATCTCGTCTGTTTATCAACTTTCATATTGACCTCTGTTCTCCTATTATTTCTAATGCCTCCTAATTTCTAACCTTCTATACCCAAATTATTCTCATAATTCGTTCGCAACACCGCATTTTGAACGCTTCTAACCTTTTCTTTCCCACCGCGCCCACCAATTATGTTTCGCACCTGTACAGGGGCGCACTCTAGACATACACCTTTAATAATCATTTCCGAATTTCTAAATTAATCGTTCGCGAACGTAGGAGTGACTTCTTTTTGTTGAAAGTGACTCGACCGTGTGTATCTGTTTTATATCTTGACCATTCCTTCCCTCCTAAGCTATCTGACTTCCAAAATACCGAAAATTAGTCACTTTTTCTATTTTCATATTCCCTATTTCCCTACTTTTGCCTCGCTTGCATACCAGTATGTTTGTTTTACTTTCATACGTACAGTATAATTCCGTATTTACGTATTTTCATGCAGTGATTTTGCCCCAAACCTTATTTTGCAATGTCAAATTATAAATAAACTTCACCAAAACTACACAATCTTAGTACCTTACGACTTTGTTGTGTATTGTTTTGTATTTTCAGTTAAAAACCACTCTTTTNAATATCTCTGCGAAAAACCACAGTGTTGTTGAAGTCTGGGTGGAGGTTTGAAGAGAAACATTGTTAGGAGAAATCTATTTTAATGTTTTTTAACCGATATTGTTTGTGTTCTTTAAATCAGATAATGAAATAATAATACAAAAAATTAAAATATATAGAATTTAGAAAAATGGAATAAAATAATGCATATGAATTACCGTAACTAGTCTTCTTCTGCTCTCCAGCATGCCCGGAGGTGGTTGCCCTTTTTTGGCAAACACCGTATGTCTATAATAGAATCTAAAACACAAACACGTACAAAGTTAGTTTTAAAAAATAGGCTCTATAACAATAGACTTACTTATCTTCACGACCAATAAAATGCTCGGTGATATAATTTTCGCCAATTTCTAATTTTGATAAGCAATCGTGTCTTATGTGATGATAATATTCAATCGATCTCTCTGACTCCAAAATGTTAGATTTGGTATGATAACTGTGAACTGAAATATTTCCTTCAATTTTATTGGTGAATTAAACAAACGATTTTCGCTATCATTTTTGTATTTGCTGATGACAAAACTACAAGCTACTCATAACTCACAAGACTCACTCTTGTACACCGTTAAATTTACGTTAATTTTTATTTCATTGTTTATAGATTACTCTCAGATCTTGATAAAGGTTAAAAAAATTTATTGGCAGAAACGTTGACATAATATAATATTGTAAATTCTAAATGATTCCTTTTTAATATAACTATTCACCAATTACACCTTTGGCATTCTAATTTTTTGAATAGACTAATCGAAGAAGAAAAAATAACTACTACAATTTAAAACTAATAGTCCCATAAAAATATAAAAAAAGAGAATGAGGAGCATAAAAATTGTCAAAACAAGTTACAGTATAAATTTTAGCATAATTGGTCGAAAAGCACTTGTTTAGAAAAAATTTACGTACGTTTACAACAATCCTCTCTTCCATCTCTAAAATATTCCGTTACCCAGTCACTATTGCAGTCTCTAATAATTTTAACCATAGAGTCGTCCCGGTGCTCATACAACTCTTCAATAGTTCTTAATTCACTTGGACTGCAATCCAAATCGTTAAAACGATAAATTTTAGTAACCATACCATTTACTTGGGCATGATCAGAAAATTCTTCCACGATTGTTCTTTTATACATAGTTTCCTTCTTTCCTCTGGGGAACCTTCTCCGAAAAACTGTATTGAGTAGAGTGTTAGTTATTAGCAAATTATTAGCTTTCCAATCATATTCACAGTAAATATGTATAAGTTAACTTACATGCTTTTAATAATTTCGATATCATATTAATGTCTGTTAATCAACTAAGTAACAACTATAATGTTACTTTTTTATTTCAACAACTGTAGATAAAACGGTTATCTACGCTTTTATTAAAAATGCATTCATTATGTCGATTAAATAAACGGCTTAAATAAAAATATTAAGAAGAATTAACATTTTAAATTAAAGTAGAGATGCGTCGGATAGTGATTTTGTCTCGTACCGGATAACCGGTCGCCCTTCTTATCCTGAGCTAATCTTCGCATTTCCCTAAAACTATAACCACCTAGTGTTGCCCAAATTCAGTCTTGGTCTTGCAGTCTTGGTCTTGTTCTTGCGTTTTTGCAAGACCAAGACCAAGAACAAGACCGCGTATTTTTAGCAAGACCAAGACCAAGACTGACCGTGCAAGACTTGAGCAAGAACAAGACATAGCCTGCAAGACTCTTGCGTCTTGCAGCTAGGACTTAGCGCTATTTCACTGAGTAGTTAGGTGTAACAGTTCGGTGTATAGGTAGGTACGCTTAGGAATTCTATGAGACGCAAAAAACTGTATCAAAGAATATGAAAAACTGGACCTATGCGCATTACGACTAATACCATAAACATAGCGAATAAAAAAATTATTAAAATCAAACTGAGTGCATGCATAGTTATGTTTTAACCATCGGCACTTTGATAATGCGGCATCAAAGGTTTTGTACTTACTTCTCAAAGAAATTTGCCGCTTTTCGGAAGTACATGGTTATGATACACGCGCCGGCGGCTTCTTTTGAAATCTAAAACAATCGTTGCCGCCACGCCGAAATCATAACATTTGACACTATTTGATTGCCGCCATAGGGTGTAGGTATACTCATGCAAAATAATTTCGAATTTTTTTACACGCTTTATATTATTGTTTGATTTGCGGCGGCATCCTTATCATAGAGCCGGCACGTGGCGAGGCGGCGCGGTAGAAAGCAAGGATCATAAATGTTTATTAAGAAACAGTTACTTCCATGGAAAACGACATATAGGTCAGTTGATTTTTCGAATTTCTTATCAAATCTTCAGTTATTTATTAATCTGCTTGATCTTTACTATGGCTATATTCATTCAAGCTCACAATGTTCCAATTCTAATACGTTTTTCTAGGATTTAAAGTAAACTTTAATAAATAGTAATAGACTAATAGGTAATTGCAAGACTTGCAAGACTCTTGCTGCAAGACCAAGACCAAGACCAAGACTGGGAGCGCAAGACCAAGACCAAGACCAAGACCAGGTGTATTGGCGCAAGACCAAGACCAAGACTGGCTAAGTCTCGTCTTGTTCTTGCGTTTGGGCAACACTATAACCACCCATATCCTTAACTATCTGCGAACACTAATCTAATCTAGGTCTACCTATACTACTTTTAACTTCTGTTTCTGCCTCTAATATCTCTCTGACTACATTTTTATGTCCGAGAAGGTGTCCTACCAACCTATCTCACCTATTCTTTATTGACTTACACAGAGTCTTCTGTTCTCTTATTCTTTCGAATACTCCTTCATTTCTAACCTTTTCTTACTACGGTATCCTCATAATTCGCAGGTAAAACCACATTTCAAACGAATCTAACCTTTTCTTTTCCGTCACAATCTTTTCCGAATTTGTAAATTAATCGTTCGCGAGCATAGAAGTGACTTCATTTTATTGAAGGCGACTCGTCCCTACGCTATCCTCTGCTTTATATCCCTACTACTCTTTCCGTCCAGTCTTATCTGATTTCCTAGATACCTAAAATCAGCCACTTCTTCTCATCTTTCGTTTCCTATCCTTACATTCGCATTTTCCGTACTTTTTCTTTCCTTGCATACCAGTATTTTTGTTTTACTTTTATTTATGTTCATACAAAACTGTTTTGTCAATGCCGCTTCCATTTTATTCAAAGCTATCTCTAACTCCTCCTTGCTAGATGCTAAACTGCTATATCATCTGCAAATCTAAGTATGCTAATCTTTTTCCCCTATATACCTCTCTCTACAGTCGTACTGTTTTTAATGGTGTTGATCATGTCTTGGATGTATAGATTAAGAAGTAGCGGTGATAGTGTGTATCCTTGTCTGACTCCCTTCCTAAAATTTACTTTTCTACATTACTGCCCCAGCTCTATAACTGCCTGTTGCTCTTTATACAAACTATCCATCACTCTTCTACCTCTGTAACACATCACTACATGTTTAACTATATTTAACATGTTGTCCCATTTAACATTGACAAAATCTTTTTCTATATCTGCAAATCCTATGTACGCGCTTTTTCCTTTCTCTATCGTTTTCTCTATTGTTACCCATAAAGCTAGAATAACCTCCTGCGTTCCCCTATTTCTTCTAAACCCAATTTAATCTTCCCTTAATAGTTCTTCCGCCCTTTTTCCATCCTTCTCTGTACAATTAATAATTAACCAATGAAATTTTAATTCTTGATTAACTGATTTTCAACGAGACGGCTGAATTGAAATAATACCGTTCATAAAATACGTTCGCAAATAATTCACCTTTATGTGGTATGTCGATCATTGAACTCCAAGGAGGGGGGACATCTAAATGCTTCTCAGTTAATATCATAGCAGTTTCTTTTTCTATTTCATCCATATCCGCTGGAAGATCCAATTGCCTAAAAGAGATGGGTTCTCCAATTAGCAGGTGTTCCCAATTTTCAGTGTTTGTAAAATCGTAGTCTATAGACCCAATTCCTTCAGAATTCTCTTGCATGTTAACCTGTCGTGTAGTAATAAATACATACAAATAAATATAATTATAAACATTTTTTTTATTTTACCCAATAATTAGTGTTATTCCAAATACTTTCTATCCAAACATAAAGTGGACTATCGATTGGATGTGAATAACCAGTAGATGGTTCTATAAACATTGGGGTTTCTATTTCTCTCCCTCGTAAAACTAAAACCCATCCATGAACTCTCCAGCCATATAGGTCATCATGAGGGGGCTTTTCCATTTCCTATTCAAATAACACTTTGTCTAATTTGAGAAAAAATTTTTACTGTTGTATCAAGGAAATAAACCCAATCTGCTTAACAGACAACATGGGTGATATGGACAGCTCATTAGAAAAGGGAAGTATATACATAGGGTAAAACTATCGTGTTGTTTTTTTTTATTACGCTATTACGATAGGGTATATTACAGAAATGTAGGCCGCGGTATACCTACTTCATTAAATTCTGTAAGGGCGGAAATGTGAGTTGAAACAAAAGAGGCAGCGAGTTGGTGTGAAATAGACAAAAGTTACTTGCAAAGAAACCTCAAACGGAAAAATTAAGGGCAAGTCAGTTTCAAGGGTATTTCTAATAGTCAAATTTCCCGCTCTTTATATTGCTGAGGTCAAATATCTAGATTTCCATTGAAAGATAACAACTTCACTTCCAAACTACCTGTACGGTCAGAGGCAAGTCAGATTCAAAGTCACCAACCTGTCGAGAGCGTGTAATCTTTGCCTAAAAATTTTTCCGAGATAATAACAACCAATCAACATATTTCTTATTCCTTTTTTTAAATAAATATTGCCTACTTCAACCTTATTCATCACCCCTTTTGTTCCGAATCTCGGAAATTTATTTAAAGGTATCTGTAACACATCACTACATGTTTAAGTATATTTAACATGTTTTTATTTTTAATTTATTTAAAGGTATCGAAGTATAATTTCTTTAAATTTTTGAGCATATTCACTGTCTGCATTCACTTTTCATTCCTATGGACTGTCTATCTGCTTAGAAACGTAACTAATCCCTTTTACTACATTATTAAAACAGGTAGATGAATTAAGTTGGTCTATAAACTGGTTAGAATTTTCCAAGGAACAGGGTAGGTTTGCGGTAGACTCCTAAGGCTGAAAGGGGGTCCCTGATTCTATCGAGATCTCAGAATACAAACCAACTTCCTGGTTCCGATACATGGATGACACATTCGTAATTTGGAAACACAGAATAGAAAAGCTGAACCACTTCCCTCAGTTCACCATGGAGTCTGAGAAGGACCAACAGTTAGTATTCTTGGATATACTAATGAGTAAACGAGGCAACAAATTGGGCCACATAGTATACAGGAAACCTATACACGAGGACAGGTGTCTGCACGCTTTATCCAATCACCATCCAATTCAAAAGTATGACATCATCGGGATCTTGACTAAATGAGCTAGAACGATTTGCGAACTAGAAACTCTCCAGGCATGACTTTAACGAATGGTTATAAAAAGAGGGAGATCGAGAGACCAATGAAGACTTAAAGACGCCAGAGATCAACGAACGGCTCACTACCTTTCTAGTATATCAAAAATTTGTTCCTAAGGTTACGAACCGAATTGGCACATCAAGATTCAACAGACCATCAGATCGGCTAAGGACAAAAGGGGTCCCATTTCAGCCCTAGGTGTCTACTACATATCCTGTTCCTAGAGAAAGGTGTACGTATGAATCACTAAGAGATCGATGGAAATGAGTCTTAAGAAGCACAAAGCAAACTACCGACTAGGACACACTGAAAAGCCGGTTATGGCTGAATATGTCCTGAGCAACGACGACCACAAAATACTCTTTGAGAACTGCAAATTGTTAGCTTCGGTCAACGGTTATTACAACAGGATGGTTAGAGAGGCCATCGGGATCCACAAAAATCCAGAGAACTTTAACAAGAAGGAGGAGACTCTCAGACTCAACCAGATCTGGAACCCGATAATCAGAAACACTCTAACGGCACCGACCGGCATGCCACGATTGACTAATCCGGAACAAACCGCGACCTCTACCAACTGTCATAAATACAACTTACACAGGAGAAATAAGAAAACCGAGAAGGGGTTTTGGTCGGTAAAAATCCGACACTATCTCCCTTCAGGGGGTGTCTTTTGAAGATTTAGAAGAGAAATCACCAGTCCGCATCCAGTATCGAAGATGGGAGGACATTGAAGAAACTCATCACTCGTGCTAGCGAAACGCTAGGAAGCAATTCCAACACGTCTTATAGTTAAGGCACAATCATAAACCTATTTTCAAAATTTCAGCGCGAGAGGTATCAGAATTATTATGTGCTATACTTATATGTAACATTTAACATAACTCTGAAATATAGTCATGACAAACGTTTTGTAGCATTGCAAACGACATCTGTAATTTATTCGGTCCATTCAATCGCGTTCCAATATTGCAGTTAATGTTAAAATGTACAAGCAATTGTCCTGCTGGTAACACTTTCGGAAGTACATTTTTACAGGACTCATACGCGCCAAAATATGTCGTTCCGCTAGAAAGATCTAGCAGTACGGAGTCCAACTTCATAATGTTGTTCGAAATTTACAATAATTTACCTCTGTCTTTATATGATTACAGTGGCGTAGTAAATTAAACTATTATAATTAATTAATTCGCGATTTGTATAGAAAATCTACCTGTCCTATCATTATCATGCTCAACTCTAAGAACATCTTGACAAATTTTTATTATATTTTTGCCTATGTCCTATAAAACGGAGGCACAATTTTCAATTAAATAATTTTTTGTACAATTCCGAAGCATTCTGCAAACTGTTGTAACTGATAATCTCCAAACTTCGACATACTCCAAATTCTATAGTTTGAAGATCAAAATGGGTGGCCAAAACAGAAGTGACCAGGCGCACGTATTATTGCTTCCTGTTAAATTATGCGAGTTTTAGCAGGATTTAACTTCATAACCGTTTGTAATATAGTGCTAGCAAACAACTGCACCAAAAACTTAAATGTAACTTGGGACTTTCGATCCTATCCGAAGGTTCAAAAAAACTAACAATACATAATTTGTAGAGTACTCATATGAGCCGTTTCCGTCCTGCTGGAAGGACATTGTGCATTCTTTCATTAAAATTCAATTTATCCCCAAAAATACCTATTTTATTTTGCAATAACTAATACACTCCTACAGTAGGTACTTCCATGTTCAATTACTTTACATCCTTGATATTGGAAGTGTAAATAGAAACAATCGAATTAAAAAGGTGCCAAACTTCCTACTGTTTAAAATCCAGATGAAAAAGCAGGTAAAACTTATTTTAATTTTTTCACATTTACTTCATTTCAGTAAATAAATATTTTAGAGATTCATTACAGAATTAAGTAATCAAGTAATACAGGATTATCTCAATTAAAGGGTTTGGATAAGTAGGACAGTCCTCATTAATACCTCTATTTTTCTTTTCCTCTCTTCTTCAAGTTTTCTTTCTTTTTCCTTAATTTTATCAATCTCTCTTTGCTCCAACCAAAGTAGAAATTTGCTCCTTAGATCACGTACAGGTTTTAATGCATATTTTCCTTCCACCTTAATTTCTTCCGCTACTTCTTCCTATTAATTGAGAAAAATATTAAACGTTAGCAAATCACTTGATAGTACATCTTACTTTTTATATTAAAAACAACGAGGTTAAAGGCCAGTTCACATCATAGTTGTCAATCTTGTTTTCAGTTAAGCATCTTACTAAATTCATACATTTTATGACCCTTTTAATTTATATTACTGATTTTACCTGCACAAGATAATCTTTGTCTACAATGTTCAAACTTGTTCAGTTTTCTTTTTTGCAATAGTGATTATACTCCCCATTAATCTATTTTTATCAGTGATATTCGAAAAATATGCCAATACATAAAGTTCTTGAGGGTACTTATATAGGAAAAAGTTTTCCATTATTAAATGTGTTAACTCATGATATATAAGTAAGTAACATTTATACTAAACATTAATAACGTAATAAATGACAAATAAATCAAAATAAAATAATGAGAGCTGTTAGTTTTATAAAATCGATTTAATTTTTAATTTAATTTAATGCTAAGAACATAAAAATGACGTCAATTAAAATTGATCTTTTTAAATTATTTTCATGATTGGATAAATAACTGAATCGAGAAAGACTTGTGCTATTTCATCTTTTATTATATTTCGTATTTTTCGTTTTTTCTTATCTAAACTCTATTAGAAAGTATTCCCGTATATAAACCTTTGTTTTTATTGCCAACAGTTTCTGATTATTATTCACTAAATTTTTATTATTGATTCAAGTCGTTAGATCAATTTATAGTCGGCATTGGATCTAGCACTTTATCATTGTATGTATTTTAAAAAGAAATTCTAAACCAGTATTGTAAGGAAAATTTATAACATATAGGTATACCTAATATACAAAGGACAGTCTTTACCATATTTTCATTTGAAATTATTGTTAAAGTTTGGTGATTGATTAAATAATTCTTTTATAAATGATTCGATTGAAATAAGATTACCTTTTATAATTGTGATATTTATGTGACCAAATGTAGAAGTTGAAACGATAAAATGTAAGTAATTATTTTCTGGCCGTCCTTTATCATCATTTACTTAAAAATGATTACATTCCATAATTCTTCCCCTGAGTGGTATCAACAAAATAATACGTGCCAAATAATGGATGAAAAGATTTTTTATTTTAAAAAACAACTAACGTTTCGCCTCGGATTAAAGGTTTTATCAAAGTATTTTTAAAAGTCGGTGATACTACGAAAAAACATAACTCACAAACACAGGTAAAGATAAAATAATAAATAATTAATTAAATTCATTCATTCATAAAAATTTGAATAAATAAAACCATAAACAAATATAAATAAGTAAAAAACGTTAAAAAGTTATCAGATAACAGTTACATAACAGAACATGGAAGACGTTAAAAAAAAATCTTTTCACGCCTGTTTTGGCACGTATATTGTTAAAAATGATCCCCCTTATTGTTCACTGAAAAATCTTGAACAAGCTGTTTAAAAACAGTGATTATTACTTGTTCTATAAATTCCGGGAAAGGGGAATCCACTCGCATCATAATGCGCTTGGCGACATCTTCAGTTGCATATCCAGAAACAACGTAGGCATTATAGTTAAAACCCAGTAAGAGAGAAGCGAGTGCTGTAGCAATTTCGAAAGAATGTCCTGAATGTCGTAGGAAAACTGTATTGGGAGAGTACAAACGAGGTGGCTGAAAAATAAATAAGAATACTGTAATCGTAATGATAAAAAAAATGTGCAGTAAGTAAATCGTTCGCTACGACGAATTAGAGAAATAAAATTAAACCAAACATATTTATATTAACAGGTATGATTTATCTATAACTCTTATAGTTTAAAGTTAACAATTAATAACAAATTACATGCAGCAAATTTACATACTAAGTATATATTTATTTATCTATTTACTCAAAAATTCATCCACGAGCGCTGTCACAAAAATTCAAAATAATGGTAAAAAACCTCGTAAAAAGAAGCAAATAGTAAAAACTTCTGGTCCACTCCAAAATACTGACATGTGGAAATCCAAACATTGAAAAAACATCGCAATTTTTTAAAATGAGTTGAATTGATAATTATATTTATCGTCTAATTATATTTATTGTCCATTTGAAGGACTCACAATCGAAAAGAGAAAATGTGGAAGGGAAGAAGATCTCGTTCAAGATTAAAATGTTTGGTGGGTAAAGGTGCAAGGGATGGAGATAAAAAACTTGGCTTAACCTAGACGATATTTTTACATGTTGATCTTGTTGGCAGTCGAGATTTTGTGAACCTTCGGCAATTTCAACTCTTGAAAGTAATTGCTCGCATTCCGAGGGCTGTTAATTGTGGATTCGATCCTAGGATATAGATTTTCGAGATCCCGGGATCCCTACCGCTTTTCCGTCTCGAACTTGTCGGGATGAACATTATTTTAAAAAAAAAATGGAAAATAGAGTGCATGAAGCGAAACACCAGTTCTCACGACAGAGTCACTTACCTATTATTTTAATATAAAACAGAAGAGGTTTTATTTAAAGCAATCATACATAAATCCCTAGGGCTTGCTCGCCAATCATTTTACGGTAAGCAAGCTCTTACTCGGTTAATTTGCGACGCTTGCTTGGAATATGATTGATATACTTTTGCATTTAATGTAATTTAATATACACTATTCATTTTCGTATTTTTTTTTATAAAGTTTTATTATTCATCATCATAATAAGGTCGTCAGTCCTAAGGCTGGTTGGACACGCATCTCCACTTTTTCCTATCCTGAGCTAATCTTCGCATTACCCTAAAACTAGAACAGCGCATATCCTTAACAATTTGTAAATAATAACCAAATCTAGATCTGATTGACGAAGAGCTTTTGGGCTGCCGTGGTCGAATTCTGATTGCAGATGTTTCGCCCTGCTTAATAGATGGCATCTTCACGATGTATGATCGGGGGCTGAATGGTTAATGTGGGATCTTAGGCGTGCTTTTATATTAGTCCGGCTAGCTGACATGTTTCGTTCCGGTACTTTAGAAGCACCCCTTAGATCCCACATTAACAATTTAGCCGTCAACCATACATCGGAAAGCACTGAAGATGCCATGATGGCGAAACGTCTGCAATCAGAATTCGACCACGGTAGAAAAGCCCCGAATCTCATCATCATCAATTAAACACCAGCGGTGAAAGCTTATGAACTACTGTAATCTATATTAACCTAACCTAACTCGCGTTTCTGCTTCTAATATGCCTCTAACTAGCCCTTTTTACGTGAGAAGGTGTCCTGCTAACCTATCTCGTCTGTTTATCAACTTTCATATTGACCTCTGTTCTCCTATTATTTCTAATGCCTCCTAATTTCTAACCTTCTATACCCAAATTATTCTCATAATTCGTTCGCAACACCGCATTTTGAACGCTTCTAACCTTTTCTTTCCCACCGCGCCCACCAATTATGTTTCGCACCTGTACAGGGGCGCACTCTAGACATACACCTTTAATAATCATTTCCGAATTTCTAAATTAATCGTTCGCGAACGTAGGAGTGACTTCTTTTTGTTGAAAGTGACTCGACCGTGTGTATCTGTTTTATATCTTGACCATTCCTTCCCTCCTAAGCTATCTGACTTCCAAAATACCGAAAATTAGTCACTTTTTCTATTTTCATATTCCCTATTTCCCTACTTTTGCCTCGCTTGCATACCAGTATGTTTGTTTTACTTTCATACGTACAGTATAATTCCGTATTTACGTATTTTCATGCAGTGATTTTGCCCCAAACCTTATTTTGCAATGTCAAATTATAAATAAACTTCACCAAAACTACACAATCTTAGTACCTTACGACTTTGTTGTGTATTGTTTTGTATTTTCAGTTAAAAACCACTCTTTTTTAAGTATGTAGAAAGCATATTGTTCCACTAATGAACTTTTTTTTAAACTTTAATTGCAACATAAGAACAAAGGCTTTCACGGCCGGAATCCATAGTAGAATGAAAATTCGGGCTATAGGGCCGTGGTCCCCAGTCGCTGTCAAGACTTCGAGATATAATCTACGTTCACGTTGTCAACGCAGCACTACTACTGAGGATGTCAGTCGCAGTAGCTGACGAAACGTCTGGACACAATAGTTCACTTAGACCACGACCCTATAGCCCGAATCTTCATTTTACTATTTTAATTGCAACGTTTCCAATGTTAGGAACACTATTTTCAGCACATATTTCATATGTTAATAGTTGTGCGTTATGTCGCTATTAATTTACTTTTTTTTGATCTACCTATTAACACCAGCATCTTTTTGCCTCTTTCTCTGAAGTCACCCTTCAGAAATAATTTTGTATACAGTAGAATGCGGTATGTTTGTAAGAAAAAGCGTTTCATCTATCGATTTTCCAGCATCCTGTTCAATTTTTGTCAGCTCTTTGTAGACATTGAGCACATTTTTTGCGTCAACAGACAAACGTTTTCTTGAACGCGAATTAGCAGGTTCAGTCACATCTAATAATAAATCGCTTTCATCAGAATCACTTTCTAATGAAACGCTTTCCACAAAACTTTTCGTTTTCCTACGGTGGAAACATTTTTATTAAAAACTCTTTTGTTAACTTCAAGGCACAAAATAAATGGGAATTACGATGACAAACAGCATTTATATTCCCACCCCTTAAAATTTAATGAACTATTTACTATATTTTGAATACTTGCAACCAAAACTGGTTTGTCTATTAGGACAGCTACCTAATATACTTACTACAAATTTCAAGTACTCAAACATATCATTTCTGAAACAATAATAAATTTTGTGATTTACTACAAACAACGGGGTAAACACCATCTGTAATATTATTCATTTAGTGGAATTCAAATATGTTCAATAAGGGTATCAACTTGTTAAACTGAACCTACGGCGTAGCTAATCTAACGTAATATGCATGCAACCAAACAGGACAAACAATAAACACCATCTGCAGTATACTGGTGGTATTCAGGAATGTTCAACATGGTTGATAAGGATATCAACTTGCCGAACCACATCCACGGTGCAGTCAATCCTATGAAAAAAAGATCTTTTGGATGTTTCATTCCCACCAGCCACTAATGCTGGTGGGCGGGCAGTACCTCCTGACTACGTCGGAAGGTAGGACGGAAGGCCCTCTTCAACCTCCTGTCAGGAATCGTGGGAATGGGTGAGCGGTGGTTCGGATGAGAAAGATGAGACGGATGAAATGAAGACAGAAGAGAATGAAAGATTATCTGTGGAATATTACTGCCCCAGCATTTGCCTAGCAGTATTAGCATCTAGCAAGGAGGAGTTAGAGATAGCTCTAAATAAAATGGAAGCGGTATTGACAAAACGGTACTGTAAGAAAATAAATAAAAGTAAAACAAGAATACTGTATGCAAGGGAAGGAAAAGTAGGGAAAGAGCGAATATAAAGATAGGAGACGACAAATTAGAAAAAGTGGCCGATTTTAGGTATCTGGGAAGTCAGATAAGTCAGAACGTAAGGAGTAGTAGGGATATAAAGCAGAGGATAGCGCAGGGTCGAGTCACTTCTATGTTCGCGAACGGTTAATTTAGAAATTCATAAAAGGTTGTTAAAGGTGTATGTTTGCGCTGTATGAGTGCGAAATATGGACAGTGGACGCGGCGGAAAAGAAAAGGTTAGAAGCGTTTGAAATGTGGTGTTACGGGCGAATGATGAGGATACCGTGGATAGAGAAGGTATTAGAAAGAATAGAAGAACAGAGGAGGACTCTATGCAAGTCAATAGGAAATAGGCGAGGTAGGTTGGTAGGGCACCTTCTCAGACATGAAGGTCTAGTCAGAGACATATTAGAGGCAGAAACGGAAGTTAGAAGGGGTAGAGGTATACTTACATTAGATTACTGTTCAGAAATAGTTAAGGATAGGGGTTGCTCTAGCTTTAGGGAAATGCGAAGATTAGCGCAGGTTAGGAAAGGGTGGAGGTGCGTTTCCAACCAGTCAGGACTGACGAGCTTATGATGATGAGCATTTGCCTAACTGATTCAAGAAAACCACAGAAATACTTGGACCAAGGCAAATGGACCCGGAATCGAACCGGCGTTTTGAGATAATACTCTGTCGAGAACATCAAATTTGGATCACCTTTTCGACTTTCTCGGATCTCGTTACCGTTGTAGACAATTTCGATAGAGTTCAGAGCAACTGCATCTGCTGCCTTTAATCAGCGTTTTATTTTTTATGTACCTCAATCTCAAAACTTCCAGTGTCCCATAAAAAATTCCACTTCAAAAACGCATGAAAAATTGTTAAATATTAATGTTGAAATGAGTATTCCAATTATCGTCAACCTATTTTAAGTTAAATCTTTTATTTCAGTATCTATTTCAAATAACTTCATTTATTCTTTAATCCAAACTTCCCGAGGTACACAGCAAAGTCGTAAATAATGTGCTGTGGTTTTGGTCTATTACTCTTGTTAAGTTACATAATATATACATTTATGATGCCCTCCGGATTCTACTGAATTTCTGACGCAAGAATAACTTGCTTGTTAAGCTACTTAGTTAACTTGCTTGTTAAGCAAGTTAAATATGCTTGTTAAGCAAGTTAAAAATGATACATGCTAATACTTCAGCGCTTCCATATAATCCTACATTTAATATCTAAATAGTTAGGTAAATATTGGAATTTATTGCATAAGATTTGAAGACTCGCAGGAC